CTTTTTTTTTTTTTTAAATGCCGCTCTCTCGTTTTAGGTATTTTAACCCAAAGACTCCAAAGCTTGAGCTCTTAACTCTACCCTTTGGCTCCTCACATTACACAAGTTTTGTGTTGGGCGGTAGAAAAGAGAGCCTTCGCCTTGGGGATGGTGTCCGTGGTTAGGACTGAACTTTTTTCTCCCAACCTGTCCTCTTCTTCACCCCTTATCAGCCCCTGCTTCTCATCAGGCAGGAGACTGAGTGAAAGGGGTACCCTGGGAAACATCTGTCACCCTCGCCCTGCTTCATCACCACCCTCCACCCCCACCATGTTCAGACCTGCTGCCTCTCTCCCTAGAGCTGGGCACGGGATAACTGACTGGGCCCCTTGCTGTCCATCTCTCCCAGCCCCATTTCTACCTGCTGGGCTCTCTAGAAAGAATATGGCCAAGTTCAAGTACGCGGACACGATCAGGACTCTACTGTTTAATCACCTGTGATGTTCTCTTTCCCCTCCAATGCTTGACCCTCTGTCTCAACCCACTTGGGTGCTTTTCTGTCTGGCCCTGCTCTGTATCCTTGAGTCAACCATCCTGTCCCACACCATGGGTGCTTTCCATATTTAAAAAATTTAATTTACAAAACCAAAGTTATGTATGTATCACATAAGTCTTTCTATAAAAAAGAGCCATCCCGAGGCTGTGTCCATTCCCACTTCTCACTTTCAACTCTTACCTATTACTTTTGGCATTTGCCTAATTTCTTTAAATTAATTTTTTAAATTTTTATTTATTTTTGAGAGAGAGAGAGAGAGAGAGAGAGAGAGAGAAAGTGAACCGGAGAACGGGCAAGAGTGGGAGCTGGGGAAGGGGCAGAGAGAGGGAGACACAGAATCCGAAGCAGGCTCCAGGCTCTGAGCTGTCAGCACAGAGCCCGGTGTGGGGCTTGAGCTCACAAACCTTGAGATCATGACCTGAACTGAAGTTGGATGCTCAACCAACTGAGCCACCCAGGTGCCCGTTTGCCTTATTTCTATAATTTTTTAAAGTGTATTTATTTATTATTGAGAGAGAGCACAAGCTGGGGAGAGGCAGAGAGAGGAGACACAGAATCCGAAGCTGGCTCCAGGCTCTGAGCTGTCAGCACAGAGCCTGACGCGGGGCTCAAACTCACGAACCATGAGATCATGACCTGAGCCGAAAGTCGGATGCTCAACCGACTGAGCCACTGCCTTATTTCTAAACCACAGGCTTATACTACCATTTCTTGATTTTTTTTCAATTTTTTTTTCTAATTGCTTGACTTCCCACTCTGAAGGAGAGGGATTCAGCTCTCTTGTACAGCATGGACGCTCCCTACTTCTTCCTACACTTTCAATATATGCTATTTTCATTAGGTAAATGTTTAATTTTACATTATCATGACTATTTAACTATTATTTACAGTCCAAAAACATTTTATGCTATGTTAGATTTCTTTGAGATAAACATCTCTTTTTCAATTTGCTGAGGTTTTCTATGTACTTATCCTAAATTTATTCCCTAATTCACTGCCAGAAGTATAGATCTCCTCCTAACATGTTAAAACACTGAGTATTTCATAAGTTTTATCTTCTTGAAGATATTACTCTTTGGAGCCTGCTGTCCTGCATCCTGTCCCAGCATGTTCTGGGCGCTCTCTATGCCTCCTGTCATCCCGAAATCTTCCTTCGCTGTCCTTGTAGACATCCCCTCTTCCTGCATTGCTTCCCTGTTTCCTGGATCCCATGTCTTCCCTTTTCTTTTCTTCCCCCTTCATTTTAGTGAAACACATCCTCTGGCAGTTTCCTGGGAAAGGATTCATAGACGTTTCATGTCTGAAAACATCATGAGTCTACTCTCATTCTTGACTGATAGTTTGGCTGGGTATGGAATTCTTGGTTGCAAATAAATTTCCCTCAACATTTTGAAGGTATTGTATCACTGCATCCTGGCTTCCAGTGTTGCTACTGAGAAGTCTAATATTGTTTTGATTCTAGATCTTTTATGCTATCCTATTCCTATCCCTAACCCCAGAGCTTTTAGGCTCTTCTCTTTCTCTCTAGCAGGCTGCAGTATCACATGTTCTCCCTCGATGTGGCTGTGTGGATCTGTTGGATTGGGCACTTGGCAGAATCTTTCAGCATATAAATTCATGTTCTTTACTTCTGGGAAATTTTCTTGAATGTTTATTTAATGATCCCCCCACCCCCCGCCATTTCCTCTCCTTCTGGAACTCCTCCTTTTCCTATGTATTTCATTTTATTTTTCTTCTACCTTCTCTTTTTTTGACTTTCTGAGATTTTCCTAAACTTTACCATCTTATGATTTAGTTTTTAAAATATCAGATATATTTTTAGTACCCTATAACTCTGGATACTTTTTAAAAATAGTCTCTTGTTCTTGTTTGAAGATCCAAGATTTCCTCTTACCTCATTAACCCTATTGATCAGGGCTTTAACATTTCTTCCATTTCCGTCATCATTTCAATTTCCTCTCAGCTGCCTTTTTCCTGGTTTGTCTCATCTCCGTCCTTTATGTCAGAGGTTTCCCTCAAATGTCTGGGGTTCTTGGTTGTCTACTAATATTTATGGGTAAGGTAAGAAGTGTGTAAGGAATGGGTAAGGAATGTAAGTGTGTGTGTGTACAGTAGGGGGGCTTTCCCCCAGTGAGTCTCACTATAGAATAATCTGGTGCAGAATATGCTGTTTTATGGGGGGAATCCCAAATGTCAGTATCTGTAGGCTTTTTCTCTTGGGTAGGGTCTTCCTCAGGAAGGAAGAGCTACCAGCTTTCAGGAAGCTATGTGGAGGAAGGGGACTGAAAGAGTCTCAGGCTCAGTTAATCTGACTTATATCAGTTTATTGCCCCCACTGTTAGCTGTGCTTGGTCTCTCAAGGTTTAGTCCTTCTGGGTAAATTCTCCAGAGTGCACTTGGTCTCTCAGGGTTTAATCCTTTTGGGTAAATTCTCCAGAGTGCACCCCCAGCTTCTCCTGGGATAAGGAGGAGTTATTGGCATCAGAGGTTGGGGTAGAAAGGAGCTATGGAGGTCTCAATGATTTTTATATGAACTTTTGACCCATTTGTCTTCCTCCTTTCAGCCCATGTGCACTCCCCTTTCAGATGTGCCTGGTGCCTCCTATTCCAGAAGCTTCCCAGGGTCCTGCTATGTGAATCTGCTTGCTTCTTGGCTTCTCCCTGGGAAAGCGCCAAGATTATTTTTTGTTTGTTTGTTTTCCAGATTCCAAAACTTTCATACCATAATCCCTTCTCCTGGTCTCTTTGTCTAATACACGCTTTATCCATTTATGCTAATTTTAGGGATGTCTAGAGGGGTGGTGATAAATGATACATTTAACCTCCAGTGTCATCCGGAGTCCCTGCTTTATACATGGCAAAATATTTTTCATCTTTCAAGGCTGCTGAGTCTGATTCATCACTCTGCAATCCATAATCATTGTTGGTTGTTCAGTAGACATGTCTCCTTTTTTATGGTCAACGATCCTGTCTTCCAGGCCATAGGTGAGTTTATGATTCAGCTGAACCCCAAATCCCATTACCCAAAGGCAATCACTAATAACATTTTGGTGAATTTCTTTCACATATATATTACAGATCTATCTACCTATCTATCTATCTATCTACAACCACACTATACTGTTTTGCATTTGATTTTTATTAATATTTTTTTGGAATTTTATTTATTTATTTTGAAAAAGAGAGCATGTGTGCATGTGCACAAGCAGAGGAGGGGCAGAGAGAGAGGGAGAGAGAATCCCCAACAGGCCCTGTGCTGAAAGATGACAGGGAGCCCCCGACATGGGCCTGAAGTCACTAACTGTGAGATCATGACCTGACCGGAAATCAAGAGTTGGGTGCTTAACCGACTGAGCAAACCAGGAGCCCCTGATTTTTATTAGTATTTTAAGAGAAGTGTTATACGTGTAATGCTGTTTCCACTGTTTTTTGTTGTTGCTGTGGCAAATTAAAATAATACAGCAATGACATCTTTCTGCATAAAGCTTTTACAAATATTTTGCATTATTTCCTCAGGCTTAATTCTCATAAGTGTAATGATTAAGTGAGAGGATAACAAATGTTTTAAGGATCTTGACTTGTGCCATCAAATTGATTTAAAGAGAAGCAGTACCAATTTACGGACTTTCCAGCAGGGAATGAGGGTGCCTATTTCAAAACCTGCTCACCAACTTTGGGTGTTATCTTTTAAAAATCTCTTTTCTTTAAAATGTTTATTTTTGAGGGGCACCCGGGTGGCTCAGTCAGTTAAGTGTCTGACTTCAGCTCAGGTCATGAGCTCACGGTTTGTGGGTTCGAGCTCCGTGTTGAGCCTGCTGGAGCCTGCTTTGGATTCTGTGTCTCCCTCTCTCTCTGCTCCTCCCCCACTCTCACTTTGTCTCACTCTCTCAAAAATAAATGAAAAAAAAATTAAAAAAATAAAATGTTTATTTGAGAGAGAGAGAGAGAGAGAGAGAATGAGCAGGGGAGGGGCAGAGGATCCGAAGCAGGCTCTGCACTGACAGCACAGAGCCCGATGCGGGACTTGAACTTACGAACCTCGAGATCATGACCTGAGCTGAAGTTGGATGCTCAATGGACTGAGCCACCCAGGTGTCCCCAAAATCTTTTTGGTTAATTGGTTCATCTGTCACTTTTAAACCTGACGTTATGGAAAGACCCTCATATAGAGAGAGCATCCTGGCCTGGGCTGCCAAACACAAAACCCCCCAAAAAACCTTTGTTAGGGTCTCCTAGCTAGTTAGTAAAATTCCCTGAGAGCAGGAACCATGTTTCTCCCTTTCATTATTATATCCTGTGGAAATAAAACATGAACCCCCTTAAAGGATGCTATCAAGGCAGAAGTATGAGCAAACTGGCTTCTCTATTCGGAAATGTCTTGCTGCCTGGATTTCCCAAGCTAAGATTCCAGTCCCAAATCAGACGGCCTTTCCCACTCCGTGAGATCCTGGCACCTGAGAGGAGTCAGTGGAGTGCTCCAGAACGTTCTTGTAACTTTATTTTGAACACACCCTCAGATTCTTTATGCTTGAGTTAGTGTCAAAGTTTGTGAAATATTGTTTTCAATAATCGCATAAAGAGCTAAAACAATGGCTGGGGTGAGAATTAATGATAGCCCATAAAGTGTATCTGCTGATGTAAATGAATGAGTGGTAAGCCCGTCAGGTTTTGCCTTCTTTGGGCCCATTGTTTCCTAGAGCTATAAAAAACACAGCGTCCCTCCTTGTGCCTGAGATAAGCAATTTCTTATGTTTGCCTTCCCACCTCCGAGGCTTGTTGTTTGAGACCTTCCAACAGCTCCCTGAAACATAAACACAGAGGAAGCTCTTTGTTTTGCTGCTTCCCACAACCCTTAGCACCCTGCATGTGTGGGACACTCAGTAAGGATTTGTGGAGTCAAGCCATGGGTTTGGGGTATAGACCTCTGCTCTTTCAGGTCTTCATG